ATTTTACTATCGTATTTCTTTTATTCATCTTTTTTTTTTTCATTTCATGCTAAACATAAATGCAAATTAATGAATGTTAGCATTCCTTTTGAAATCACGCTTATCCCAACCATTATCTTTTACCATATGCGCCAATTCGATGATAAATTTACCTTCTTTATATTTTTGACTAACTTCAAATGCATGTTCCTGAAATTATATTTATGTTATACTTCTTTTTTTTCAAATTTATAATTAAATATATATTTATAAAAATTATAATTAAATATTTATTCTATTCAATGTTAAAGATAAAGAAAAAAATAAATAAATAAAAATTTACATATTTCCATCCAAGTGTTGTTTTGCAACATTCACAGTATATATCTGCTACTGCATGAAGGCCTGTTAATAAAACACGTTCTTCGGCTGGTCCACAACCTATATTAACCCTAAAAAATTTGAATAATTTTTATTTTAATTAATTTTTTTTCTTTGTTTAATTTTTATTCCTAACAAAATTTTATCAAAAATTTTTTTTCAATTTTTTTAAAAGATAATTTGAAGAAAAAAAAGATGTTTATATGATTTAAAAGTTATTGTGATGATAAATATATATGATTATTTTAAAGGTTATAATACAAATATTTTTAGTAATTTATGATAATGTATTATTTAAATGTATACAATTCAAAAAGGAAAAGTAAAATTATAATGATTTTTTTTTTTTTTGTAAAAAGATTGGTTATTTGTAAATGTTTCATTTAAACAATAATAATAAATGAAAAAATATAAATGGATAAATTTAAAAAAAAAGAAAGAACTTAAATGGATAAATTCAATAAAACATATTTTATTGAAAATTACTGTAGAATCATTTAAAGTGTTTAAAAAAAAAGAAAAAAAGCTTGCAAAATGTAGAAAAAAAGAAAAAATTCCTGAAAATATATTATCAAATTCCTTTTTTTTAAAACTATCTCAGCTTGAATTTTATTATTATTTTCAAATTTTTATTACTACTTTATATTATTATTTTCAAATTATTGTTATTATTTTACTATTTTATATAATTATTTTCAAATTTTTATTCTTATTTTATATTATTATTTTCAAATTTTATTATTATTATTATGTGTTTATATT